TGTGTTAAAAACACGACCTTCCACAAACGCCGAAAATATTTCACTGTGGCAGATGTGGCGAGCAGTTAGCGACCAGGCGTGTTGCACCGCATTTCTTATGCGGATAGCTTCCAGAAGAACCTAGTGGAATCCAGTTGTGACCCGAAAGTTGTTGCAATACGGCTCCAACGGCCGTGTTAGCGGCGTCGGGAGCAAAGCTAAGAGGAATGCTTGTATTTTTGCGAACCAACATTGTGGCATCTGCTACTTCGTCATTGACCTCGCGAAATGCCCCTAATGCCTCGTGAGTCATGCTGAAGGATTTACATTTACCCTTCAGCACGCTGGTTAGCACAGTTAAAATGCGCACGCAATAAAGGACAAAACGACAATAATAGCTCGCCTTCCCCAGGACTGTACGAAGTGCTTTAAGTGACGTTGGTATAGAAAACTTCAGGACCCCTTGTACCTCTTCGGGTAGCGGTCAAACACTATGTTCGTCGATTATATGTCCTACAAAATTCACTGAGCGGATGCCAGTGTGGCACTTGGCCGGAGTGACTGTCATTGAATGCCCGTATAGTTTGGTACTTCTCGTACGTGGCTACGATGAGTGCCTTCGTCTCAGCCAGCTAGCAGCATGTCATCCAAATAAGCATGCGCAAAGTCTAGTCCACGCTGAACATTGTGAGCGAGGTGTTGGAAGGTTTGCTCTGCGGAGACCGAAGGGCATGGGAAGAAACTCAAAGGGATCGAAAGGTCTAACGACTGCTGTCTTCGGGACATCAGAAGGAACTGGGTTCTGATGATAAGCACGCGTCAAGTCAGTTTTGCCGAAGAAAAATGAGCCTGTCGGAGGTGCAGTCAAGTCATAAGTGGTACTGGATAACCATCTGGAATCGACTTAACGGGACTTCGCCAGTCGCAACTAAGTCTCCAGTCCATGACGAAGTTTATGGTGTCACATGCGGAAGCGAAGACCACGAGGTGTTGAGTGATCCGATTATTCCCGTCTCAAACATGCGTTCTAGCGAGAAAACCTTAGCGGGGACCCGCGTGGAGGAACGCTGGAACTCTGTGAAAGAGACGTGGAAGGAAACCCACATAGCCGTTTTGGGAAGGAAGAGGAAACAAGACAAGGAATGGATCTCGACGGGCACATGGAAGCTGACAGAAGAGAGTAAGATGATGGTGCAGAAGATGAACCAGTGCAAGGATGAACAACGAAGAGAAGAAGTGAGTACAACGTATAAAACACTGGGCACAGAAGGGAAGAAGAGTGTGCGCAAAGAAGAAAGATGCTTCTGCTACGACACACCTGTAAGTGAAGCAGAACAGGCTGCTGGCAAGAGATCAAGACAGATGAAACCAATGGAAGATAGTGAAGGAGACCTGGATACCAAAGAGGAGAAACAAAGGTGATGGTGTGGTGACCACTTCGAAAACTCTTGAACCCACCGCCGCCTGCAACTCGTCCAGAAATACCACCAGCAGCCCAGCCACAGAACTATCAGTGATCACAAGCCCTATGACTAAGGCAGAACTTCCGAAAGCCACAAAATTGCTGGAAGCCGGTAAAGCAACAGGACCGGGTGGAATTCCTTCAGAAGCACTGACAACAGACACAGAGGCATCGGCGAATACGCTGACACTACCGTCGCATAAAGTGGCGAGGGAAGGAAGGGAAGATGCCTGCAGACTGGAAGTTCTCTATTTTGCCAAACTCCCAAAGAGGGGTGACCTAAGCATTTGCAACAAACTACAAACATTCATCTAAAGCTGTCGCCCACGCTCACTCGATACTGAGGATCAGATGCCCAGAACAATAAGAATATGCAACTGAGAGCTCTGACTGGCAACAAACCAACCAACGAATAGCCTATCGCCTAACAAATGTGCGGAGGAAAGTGTGGACGGACTGGCAACACACCCGTATAACTTTACGGACGAGTAGTAATACTAAGTAGTGGGAGTGCATGTCGTGCATTACACTTGGCTATGAGAATGCGCCCGTGTAACAGTACTGGAGATGGAGAGTCCTGTAACAGCCAAAATCCGATTATCTCGGCCGGAAAGCGCGAAATAACTAGGCGGTGCAAACTAACGCGAATCTGACTGCTTCTTGCGCTCTGCTGTATTGCTTCCGAACTTGCGCGAGTGACGCAGTCAAAGGTTGGATCAAAATATCAAAACACGGTTTGTAGTCAATCAGTGGTAGATTCGTAACAAAACCTGTGGTACTCTCAAAGCAACAATAATGTCAAAATTACAAAAATATCTCAACAGTGCCGTTGAGTAACTATACAGTCCAAACATTTTCAGGCACAAGTACGTACTATACGGTAAAAACTGGTTAAACGAGTACAGTCGTTAAGTACCTGAGAGTCAACGAGAATGTTCCCGACAAAAGGGATCAAAACTCTGCCTAGCAGAATCAAATCAACAAATAAACGTTCCCAGTAAACGGTCAAAAGATACACGATCAAATCACGGCACAGCCGTAAGTTGAACCGAAACAACATGTTGGGCGCAGTAAAACAACGTCACGTTGTCAACAGTCCAGTGTCACATAATAGGAGAGTGAGGCATTCATGATAAGTCTCAACCATACAATGGCAAATACTGAGTGCCAAGTCAAAGAAGGCAGTCGAACAGCCAAATAACGTTACATTGGCTAGGGTCAAAGGTACGCCATCCATATTGAGGGTAAAAATATTGAAATAAATGTCAATGCTGTCAAATAGAATGATCAGAAGGGATGTTCAGATCATTTTCCTGTCACGAGTTCTGTGAAGGTGGCAGTCAGTTTAAGTTTACGAGGATCTATCAGTTGCTGATATTATTGTAAGAGAGACCCCCAGCGGTAATATGGATGGTCACATCAACCACTGGGGAAACTTAGGGGGAAAGGATATATTCCAAGGTTGATGTCGAAGAATCTTTGGCCGTAAGTTGCGATAGGCCACCCACCGGCAGCACGAAGTTGCAGAGACGTTGGCTGCGGACGCTGTTCACTCGTGGGTGGGATGATGCTAGCCTCAGTCAGTAGGTGCAACGGTTTAGAGGATGTCGCATATATCCACTGCTGGGTCCTTCATTACGCTTGACACTGCTTCAATTACACTTTCAGGCAAACTTACGATTGCTAAGTTTGATTTGGTTTCCTGTGAGTGAATACGCCCCAAGACGAATTGAGCCTCAACTTGGGCTGGCCACCCGGATAGTCTTTGGGCCCGAAGATGGATATCTCAAGTGCAGAGGCCATCTGCACGGGACAGCCGTTATGCTCGGCCATTGATGGGAGGGGGGGTATAACAAGGTGAAACATTGATAATAACACAGTTACAATGTAGTTGGCCTACGAGTGAATGCAATACAAAAACGAAAACACAGCCTTCGTACAAAAATGAAGATGAAACAAATGAATCACCACAGGACAAATGAAGTATTGGACACGGTGAGAGAACGTAACTCGAGGTTGCCAACTGCAGGGGACTGTTTATGTTGCTATGACGTAACGCTTGACCACCCTGCGCAACTCTCTGTACTCTAGTACCTGGCTAATCAATATTTCACCTAACGTGCAAGCGCTGATACTGAGACACAGATCAAAAATACTGGTATTCAGGAATGCATTTAAAGAAGCAATATGTCCAAATAGAATGAATGTGATAGTTGTTAGGGGAAGGGTCTATTCAACTTACCCGGCTGATATGGCTGAGATAGGGACTCTGAGGACGTGCGTGCTGAACCGGCACAAAGAGAGCATAAAATGTGGTTGAAGCCTTCTCCGATTCATTTTTGTTTAGACAAGGCCTTAAACATCTTTGGCATCTGGAGGCAAGCCGGAATTTTATTTACTTAATTCAATTTAATCCACTTATTTTGGCCGTGGTTGCATTTTGGTGTCAGGAAGGTGTACAACAAGGTCACCCGAGGAACTCATCGTAGTATTTTCGCAATATCTTCTAGGACGCAAATGAATGAGAGGTGACTTGCTGGTGAGCGCAGCATCTTAAGTCACACAGGTCACCGGAGTGATCTTTTTCTAAATCTAAGCTTTAGGGCTCGTCAAACAGTCAGTTTCTATCCAAGGTCTGAGTACCAGCTCGTAAGAGGTTTGCTGCTTTCTCATTGCCAAACATTTGACCAGCGGCATGTAAACTGGTTTGCGCCAGTACGGAACTAATAGTATGTTGACACAGATAACAAATGGCGAATAAAAAACACGTTTAGCAGTGAAAAGAGCCCAAAGAAGCAGTTAAATTAATAGTCGTAAGCAACGTAAGTGAAGAAAAACACTCATGTGTCAATGGATATCTGAGTAGATGCATGTCGAACAGTGGAAAGAAAAGGCTGAAAATAGCGAACGTCTATGTGGAGTGCCTACATACCATAACAAAACTCATAAAGTTAAGGACGTCAGCTGACGCTTAGGTTATTCAAGTGGTACTTAAACATTTAAGGTGTTTATTTGTTTAAGATCTGGCAATTTGGTGCAGAGAAGGCACAGTACTAGCTCAGTAACAAAATCAGCAGTGAACTGTTTCCATTCTTTCATTTTTTCTTTATTTAACACTACTTCACTATTCTCGTTCAGGTGCCTACGCAGGTAGGAGTCACGATAGCATCCTAACCATCCCAGCAACCCGTAGCTACCCAGTCGCTACTACTTACAGCTTACTAACCCACAATACATCCACCTCACCGAAGCTAAAAATAAGAAGAAAGAGGGGATTTCTTTGTCTATTGTAGGATTGAACCGGACAGCTCGAGCCAACTCCCAAGAACTAAACGCGAGAGATCAGAAACCAACATTTTTCTACGCTCGCACTATCAATATTGGATACTGGATCCACATACAAAGCATTGTTCTTCGACATAGAAACTGGTAGTTCAGTGATTCTGTATGGAAGAACTATTTGAGTGGAATCTTCTATTTATTTACCAGCTATCCAAAACATTTCAAATAGCTGAAGAGCCACTAAGGGCTGTTTGTTTAAGTTGTCAGGTACCGACGCCATCTCTCCATTTGGTGCAACCGTTAGAATGGCTTTCCCCTTGGTTGTCAATAAGAATTCGGTCAAGTCTTTGGCGTCTTGGTGGCTATCTAACGAATCATCTCTGAATTATGTTGGGCTCACTCCAAAAAGTGGGCGTGGGAAGGTGTTTATTGATATGCATAGTCCAGGTATTCCTTTAATTTTTATTATTACTCGGATAGGTATCATTGTTGGAATGCCGTTTGTGGATGCCATTCTGAAGGAAAGCAGTTGTGAGATCGAATGGCATGTGTGTGAGGGTCAAACAGTGAAGTTATGCCCGACACGGGTTGCAACAGTCACTGGAGCTAATGAAGACATATTCTTCTGTGAGAATCTGGTCATATCTGTACTATCTAGAGCTAGTGGTATTGCATCTCTTGCCAGCAGGTAACTTTTACATCACGTCCTACTCGCCCTCTCAGAATCCAGACAATTTTACACGAAAATTCATGGTCAGGTACAATTTACATGCCTGACCGACGAACACCAGGATTCGGTCTTGTTGAAGAGTATGCAATGATGATATCGGGAGTGTCTGAACGAAGGCCCTCTGTCAGTGTGCGATGTCAGGATATGGATTCTGGCAATTTAAAAATAGCAAGTTGTTTTAACAATGTTAACTTTCCAGGCCATAGACGAAGTTCGTTCCAGAGTTGGTTCCATCCCTGTACATGTTGTCTGTTCTAAATTGGGTGAGGCATGTTTGGCTGCTGGGGCTGGAGCTGACATATTACTCACTGGCTTGTGTGCTAAGGTATTAGAACACTTTTAGTTATTCCGTTAGGAAGCTGTAGATATCGCTTCACAGGTGAAAGGAAGCTTTCCTAAGGTTCAAGTGATTGTTAGCGGCTTTTTTGACGAATTGGACATGAAAGTGTGTGCATCGCGCTATGTGGACCTCTTAACTTCCTTGAAACTATGCAACGGTTACGCATGCATCGACTATCAGATGACGTATGTCGAAAGTATATCTTCTACAGCCGAGTTGCAGTCGACAAATCTAACTGTGATACCAGATGAAGGTGAATCATCTTGTAAGTTATTCTACGTCGTAATGGAAACCATAGTCCTTTTTTAGAGGACTTTGGGGGGCATTTTGATATTTTTCGGTGCATGAACTCGTGAGACATTAAGTGCAAGTTAGTAGTACTGTATCAGTGCGTATGTGACAAACTATGAACTACATCCACTATATCGTGATCCAGTGAACCGTTTAGGAGCTCAAGGCAAAGCAGGTTAGGGAGAATTTGAAGTTCGGATTCCAGTCGGAAGTTAGTAGCTTGGTCTTTGAACCACATCTTCACTTTCGTTGTATTCACACTGGTGACACCTTTTCGTCACTTTACTGTATTTACTTCATTCTAATACTACTAAAGGTCTCAGTCTAAGTGTTAACTATGTTTTGTGTATTGGTATATCAAAGAGTGTTAACTTGGGCTTTAGTTTCGAATGATAAGTAATTATCACTAACTTATATTCCGATACAAGGTGCATGCTTGTTATTTAGAACCATGTAGGCTTCTGAAATCAGGTTAGAGTGTAATTTCTGAAACCTTAGTCTATGGCTATATTGAGGTGAAAAGTTTCTTGACTTTGCGTACAAGTTTTTGCTTTTGAGTATTTTAGTCTATCGATTAACAATCATTCCTTTTCATACCGGTTAGGATAAGGGAAATGCATGTAACTTAAGGCTTAAAGAACTTTTCAAGCATCACGAAAGGTCACTTAAGTCAAAGGACTTGATTGTGTGATTGTTTTGTTCTTGGAGTTTGTGCTGATGCAAAATGTTTTTTATCTTTTATTATTGAGCAACGCTTTCAAGCTTCCTCATCCTCCTGGGAAATTTTATTCAAGATTCACGTAGGCACTAACAATTTAATTTAGGTTGCATGAAGTTTTAGGTTGACCTCTTAAAATTTATTCGGTTTCTTAAAGCAAATAAAGCTAGGTAATTTATTTGTTTGATTGGAAGTCTAAGCAGATATGTCACATCAGTTTGACTTGCTGTGTAAAGAGTTGAGTTTTCACTGAATACGATTCCGTTTGAGCTTCTTATACCTTATGTCAGGTCTAAAACTTAGGATTTTGAGTACTGTTAATCAGTTACTTAATTTTTTCTTCAAACCAGCTTTATCAGTTCCACATTTATAGCAGACAATTCACACTGGTTAAAATTTGCGTTTTTATTCGATTATTAGTTTTTCATACGGTGGTAGGTGTATGCTGGTGAATACCAGACTTTTACCAGTTTTATTTTGATGTGGTAGCTGAAGGACCTAAGTGGTTGTATACTCGGTACTTTCCTACCCACGAAGTCGTTAGTTGGTAATTATGCTTTATCTTTTCCTGAGCTAATTTTGTTGACTCATGGTTTTCCAAGTTTTTGGTAATGTGCCGAATTATTCACTTCATAATATCGCAACTTTTCTGTTTTTTAGGTGTGATTTGTCAATAATCCAAGTTTAGCATTCGCCTGGTTACACTTTATTATATCTGGCCACTGTGAATGATAGGAATTGAAGACATTCTATCCCCTACCCTAAATAAAGTAGCCCATCGTTTTTCTACTTAGTTTCGGTAACTCTAGGAAATTAGTGGAGTTTATTCCGTTTTTTTTTTGAGTAGGTATTGAAACGGCTACATTCACCAGGTTTTTATGTGTGACCATATCTGTGTATTTTCATCGACCAGTGTTATCGCAAAAATTGTCTGCAAAATCCACGTTTTCAGCACTGCCTAGCACAAAATAAGTAGTGATCCATGGCAAAGGGTTGATCGAAATATGTATATATATATATATATATATAATGTATTGTAGTGAGAATAACTTTCTAATGGCTGGTTTTTAATTGCCAATTTTTCACATTACTGAGTGTGTGTACGGTTATTTTAAAAGTGCAGATTTGGGTTGCATTAATTCATTCAGATCTCGTTTTATATTTAGTTCATGGAAAATCCTTTATTCGGAACGTCACCTAATTTTACTGGCTTATTGCAAACCACTTTGTTGAATATTTTAACACGCTCCTCAAGCAGTTGAATATTTCCTTATCACTTATAGCTCCTTCAAAACCAAAGTCACCCGGCCCCCAACCCACTGAAGAAGTGGATAGGTAAGAAGGGTTTCATTATCAGATTTTAATTTATACCCTTGGTTTTTTCCCTTTAAACATTTAGTCCTTGATACTAGATTACATCTTAAGGCTTTTAGTCATACATTGGTTTTTGGTAAATCTAACGAATTTTCCTCACTCTGCTTGATATCAAGCAAAGGGGCATTTAGTTATTTAGTGGCCTAGGTTAGTGAAAATTATTCAGTATTAAGCAAATGATACTTAACATCTTCAGCAATTTCCTCACATTCCGTAAACCTGGTTTTTATTCCGAATATAAGTTATTGTAATTATTCTGAGATCCATACTTGTCTGGAATCATCATATAAAGTGATGTTTTACAGTAGGTAATTGCTATAGAAAACGACTATTTTCAAAAAGAAAATTGAGTTTCCTTTAGAAAGGTAATATAAGTGTTAGCATCTTTTGGCTCGCCTGATTTGCTAAGTTCATGGTACAATTGATGTTATTATCATGTTATTGTTTAACTAAATAACTAACAAACTGAGAAGTCAGTGATCTTTTGGGTTTTTGGAAATTTAACTTTCTTACTAACATGCTGCACCATTCCTCAGCTCAATATCTTCGCCACTAAAGAAGCCTCGCTTAGTCGATGATGAGGGAGATACCCCTAAATCAGCTAAGCTCAATGGTACTCCGAACCGCAACACCAATCCAACGGCCTCAGATCCGAATTGGTCCACTGTTTCCAATGCGCCTAATGCACAAAGTCAGAAGCGTTCTCAGCGAGTTCTTCGACATCCTCAGTACACACCAGTAAGATTGAAATGATTTAGAAATTGTTGTAAGCATGTCAGTCTTTAAGTGTTTAGGGAATTACTTGAGAATACCTTTAAACTTTAAATTATTCCTGTTCTGTACTCGTGAGTGCATAAAAGTTTTTTTTTCCGCACTTTAATCCACCTTATAATGGTCAATTTACATAATCTTTAAGTGTTTCATGAATTTTCCAGCTTCTACTTCTTGACATCGGTTACCAAATGGTTTGTACACAAAAGTATAAACGGAGTGTTTCTGAAACTGGCTAGGTGTCTCGCATTTATCAATGTTTCCACTCACATTACTTCTAAGACTTAACTTTATTTTGAACGTAAACTAGGTACCAAGAAAGTTATTGAAATTGTTTCTTCTGTTTTTTAAAGTCTTTAAAGTAAAAACATACATGTTTGATGACATTACTTAACGAGTGTAGGGTATTTAAAAAGAAATAAAAATGATGTGTTCTCTTATGAGTAAGCACATAGCAAGCTATTCCTACTTTTAGGATTCCTTTCATAATTTTAAGATTTACTTTAACTTGAACATGAATCCACGAATATCACTTGTATGTGTAGTTGGTAGCAAGTGTTTATTCAGGTAAACGTAGTCTTATTTCCTTGAAGTTTCGTTGAAAATTCCAGTATATTATGGTTTTCACTAAATAAAGCTAACTGCATATGCTGAAAACAAAACATGCTTAACTCAATCGCATCTGAACTAAGTGATATGATTTGCAATGCAATTTCTAGGTTATGCACGATAATTCATAATTTACATAGCCAGTGTAAAAGTTTTGATTTGAATGTGACACATTACTCGTTAACCTAGTGGCTAATAATTATTTTGTCTACGCTTATGCGAATAGTTGGCATCGCTTCACTTGATAACTTCTTTATGCATGATAAGTAAACGATCCCCCAACCACTTGCATCATGTCCTTGTTGTAGTTAATGTCAGCTTAAACCTGGTATATAAAAGCTCCTGAAATACTTATTACATTTATTGGAGATTTCTAAGCAGTTTATGTTACATCTTTAGTAGACTAGTAAACCTACGAATTGTTTTGGATTGCTTGTTTGAGCGTTGCTGTTTGTCAAGTATTAAGTAGAAGCAAAAGCCACCAAAATCGTGAGACACTTGTTGGTATCCTGAGTTTAGTTACTTCGCTGAAAAGTGTGATGCGGAAAGTGACACCTTATACTTTTTCACCAAGTAATTTGAACTTGATTTGATTTCCAGCCACAAAGATCAAATGTCGCTCGATCGCAATCACCCGGTGGCCTGCAGTTCTTCAACATGGCAAACCCACGACTCATATCTCCAACATCTACAGCCTCACGACCCCCAGCTATGCTATTACAACCCGGGTTGAATCTTGGTAACCAAGTATCGGGAGTGCTCAACCCATCTAACAACCAACAAAACATTGGTATGCGCTTCCCAGTAGTACCACCACAACTACAGCAATCACAATCTATGTCACAACGTATGTCGTCTAACCCTCCAAACATGCTTGGCTCGAACCAGCCAATTGCTGGTGGGTTTTTGAACCAAATCCAGCCCCCACCCAACAACAGTCAACCTCCAAACTGGCAAATGATACAAGGCGGGGCTGGTGGACATCCTATGGGCGGATTAGGATTGGGGATGCGTGTTGGAGGACCAAATATGAACAGCTGTCGGTAGGTGACGTTTAAAGTTGTTTTTATTCTAAGTAAACTCCATGGTTCTATTCGTTAGCACTTTAGGATTTTGTTCAGGGGTTCAACAAACTTATAAAAAAAATTACCAATTTACAAACTGTTCGGACCAGTGATGATGCATCATTTCTCGTTTCATAGATGTGTAACGCATGTTGAAAATACTTGGATTCCTGCTGGAATTGTACAGAGTCTTATTTTTTATTAGATACTTTTCTTTAACATGACTATGTCATCTGCTTACTCTCAATTAAACAAACTTTCGAACCATAAGTCAATCCGTGAGATTTGTACATTGTCACATTCATCAGTACATCGCTAACGAAGATACATGAGAATGAACTTGGACTTTCTTGGGTAAAATAATCAGTTGTCACCAACTCAACCGAAAGTTCTCCGTTAGCACATGAAACGTAGCCCAACCCAGAACATATTTTTAGTGCGAAAAGTTATAGGGCACACGTGGCAGCCTGTAGTACTACCCTCTTGCCTGGATCTAAGTAGGTGGGGTGGCTGTAATGCTTACCGGATTACGTTTCGAGAATTTACTGCTCATATATCAGAGTAGTCATACGGCTTTCAAACTTCCTTTATGTAGTCCAACAGTCCATTCGTTTGTTTTAATAGAAGTACAATTGCCTAGATGTCTGTAATATGTGATGAGTCATTTCTGTTATGTGTTGGGTGTTGATTCAATGAACAAAGATTCTGTGACCAATCTCTCCTTCCACTTGGGTCTACTGGGTTCTAGAATTGTCACCCTATAGTACGATTATAGGTCACTGTATGCAGAGCGATAGCTGAGTTTTTCTCTAACTTTCAGTAGGGTCTACAATTGTATGTGTCGCTAAATTTCTATGCTCTTCTATTCTGACTGACCTTGATCGCCTGCTTTGACCCACACACTGAATCTCATATGGTATCTGATGGATTAAGTTGTTTTTATTAATTGACACTACTGGGTTTGTTACCATATAAAAAAGCTCAGAGCGAGTTTGACATCTTAGTGTCAGCATTTGTATGAATTCTATGTGAAATCCCTGATGTGCCCTCCACGTATGTCAACACAACAGAGCATTCGAATTCCCTCTAAGGTGTGCTGTAATCACCACTCATATCATGGTAGCTTCTATTTTAAGTCCCGATAAATATTCTACTAGATTCCGGAAGATAGTTATTAAGTATTGTCAAGATGCTACAGTTCCTTAATTCGATTTTCTGACTCAAAGTCGTAGCTCAATTACTAAAGGATTTTATCAAACCTACCTCAACATATACATGGTGAGCCGATGTGAAATCCGGAGCATCGACTTCCTATAAACTGGTATCTATTCTTCCATCTCTCCTCTTGACTGTTCAGTCTAACATAGGGAATTCTCCTTCGTTTTTTAATTCAGAAGTCAATTAGATTGTATCTACTATCGAGTTAATGCATGCGAAGAAACTCGGGATGCCCTAATTTCAACAGTGTGTCATCTACGCGGGGTGCGTTGGGATGTTCCTGAGTGCCATTTTATCCCGAGCGTGCATGTCGGTATGTCAGGGATACTGGAGATCCGATCGCTACTTCTGTTTGTTGATATATTTCGTCTTGAAATTTGAAAACCATGAAGTTGAACGCAATCGTATCCCCAGCACAATTTCTTCGAAAGAAATTAGTTTTCTTACTGAGTTCATGGTCATTTGTGAGTTCATTTCTGACTGCTTCAAGTGCCACTGGCGTGTCTGTATAAAGGCTCGCCATATCAAAAGTGAACATCTTTTCTTCTTCTCCCAACCATATATTATTTAATCAGTGTTTTAATTCAAATGGATTTGTGAGCCTAGATTTTGAGCGGTTTTTGATAGGAAATAGTATTTTAACAAAATACTTAGATAACTCATACGTTAGTGTCTCTAAAGCAAGCCATTGATCTGATAGGATAACCTTTTTTATAACCCCTAACAGAACATTCTACTAGGATTATTAGTTTTAGGGATCAAATTAAACCACTGAGGCTCATGCAGAAGTGGCTGCGTATTAAATCACCTGTGGACTTTTTAATCTTATCCATAACTGTCTATAGGTTTTTTATTTTCCTCATATGGTCCTGTTTCGATATGTTCATTGAATCACCACCTAACGCGTAACAGGAATGACTCATCAGACATTGCAGACATTTGGACAATTGTACTACCATTAAAAAAAACTATATGAGGGAAGCTTGAAAGTCATGATTTTTTTCGACGTGAACATGAATAAATCCCACCTGAAGCGTCATCCAGAAGATGGTGCTGCATCACTATGTGCCTTGTCAAATAAACAATCTTATATGGAATGGTACTCTACTACTGTGCCCAAATTTTACTTTTAAATAAGGTGGAGTGGCGTTCGAACCAGAGACCCATTGCTTGAAGCTCTAACTCATCAAGCAGTGAGCCTAGGTACCAAAAACGTTATTGAAATTGTTTCTTCTGTTTTTTTAAGTGTCTGTTAAAGTAGAAACATACATGTTTGCTTACATTACTTTATGAGTGCACTTACGTGCGAGGTTCTACTTTGGTTTCGTCAGTCATCGAGACCGAGTAGCCCTGATTTCTTATTATTATTTGTCTCTTAGGTTCCTAGTGGAACATAAGGCTTCACTAGCATGTCGCCAATTCACTCTCTGCTCTGCAGTCTTCTCAACTCGGCTCCACGACTACCCAGAAGGTTTCATTTCTTCCTCACACCATCTCCATGTCACTCTCGGACGCCGAACTCGTTTCCCAGTAGGGTTCCACTCATGGGCCTGACGCGTAATGTCCCGAACAGTCTCCTAAGTGTATAACCAGTCGATCCCCATTTTCCTCTGCATATTTGTTGGGCGATAGGTTCTTAGTTGGTTTGTTGCCAGCCGGAGCTCTCAGTTACTTATTATTCTGGGCATCATCTGATCTTCAGTATCGAGTGAGCGTAGGTGACAGCTGTGGATGAATGTTTGTAGTTTGTTGGGAATGCTTTTCGGGACACGCCAAATTTATGAACCATACAGAAGCACTGACTTGACATTAGTGTTGAAAGTCCGGGTCTTGTTCACGCTTTATGGTGAGTGCAGTGCAGTAGAGTAGATCTCCACACTGATTCAGAATAATGAAGGCCCGGCTTTCACATCCTCATCTATGCCTGCGCCGCCTGTAGTTGAAACGATGCCGCCTAGGTAAGTGTAAGAGACTACTTCCGTTGATCGTGATTAGTGCTTGTTGTTGTTGGTTGAGTATCTTCATCATCTCTGCCTTCTCTACGTTCACTTGAAGTCCCATCTTCGAATCAACCTGACGAACAGTGTCTAAAATTCTAGGTTCCATAATTCGACACCTGAGACGAGCTCGCAAACAGCAAGCCCGGAACAAACAGGTAGGCTTTAGACCACGCTACGGGTGTATTGAACAAATATTCACATTGCACCAGGTCTTCGAACATAAGCAGAAAAACCGAAGCCCGACAATAGCTGTATTTCTCGACCTGAAGGCGACATTCGACTCCGCTGATCAAGAAGTCTTATGTATCTCACCGAAAGGCGTGCCGAGTAAAAGTACATTACCTTATTGAAGGCACTCTACTCGAACACTTGTGGGCGTCTTAGAGACCGTGGTGAGATGTCCGAGTAGCTATCCTCATGGAGTGTTGTCCGTCAACGGCGCCCACTGTCTCCATTCTTATTCAACTTTACCATAGATATTCTTGTGGAGGTCTCCCTCTCGTCACTTGACCACACAGATATTGACCTAATCGCATGAGAATTTTCGTTAGACCTAGAATATGCAGATGACACAGTCCTGTTAGCTGAAAACGCTGGCAAGATGCAGAGTCTTCTGAGCACTTAGAGTGGCAATTTGAGAATGTTTGGGATGCGTTTCTCACCACCCAAGTGCAAATTGTTGCTCCAGGATTGATCTTCAACGGTGTCATGGCTAACAATAGAGAGTATAGTGGTTCAGTGTGTTGACCACTTCACTTACCTGGGAGGTAGGACCAGCCGTGCTCTGGTGGCTCAGTGGTCGAGGAAATCTCTGCACGGATACGAAAGGCTCTACTGGTTTTCGCCACCGTGTTATCCGATTGTCTATTAACGGTAGCGTGTACTGCACAGCAGTCCGGTCTGATCTACTGTATGGCCGTGAAGCATGGCCATTGAAAGTGGAAGATTTGAGAAGGCTTTAAGTGCTTGAGCACCACTGCTTCTATAGTATAGGCCGTATTCCGTGATGTCTTCAAGTGAGTAACGCAGACGTCAGGTGTAGAGTTCTAGGGAGTAAAGGTAAGTTAGTTGACACGGTTGTAAACCTTCATTGACTGAGATGGCTGGAACACGTGTTACGTATGCCTAGTCACCGATTGTCTTGTCACACAAAGTTGGCCGAAGTAGGTTCAGGCTGGAAAAAGGCTCGAAGCGGCCAGACCAAAACGTGACACCAAAGGATGAGAGTGTAATTCCTGTTGAATAAGGTTGATAAAGACTAGGAGCATCCCGTAGTGTTGAAGCAACTGCCAAATTACTTCATGGTCGACGCCTCGATCGAAGGCCTTTTCAAAGTAAGGTGAAAAGTTGATCTCTATTCCATGCTCGGTTCTATGATGATGCGTAGCGTAGCGTTGCGGTTTGGCCCTGAAGCCGGCCAGCCTGTTGCGGTCGAAGTTTTGGAGCCAGCGCATCAGGATGATGCGGCTTCATACTTTGCTGGGGGTGGACAGCGGCACTCCAGTTCTTGCAAAGGCTTAGGTCGGCCTTCTTCGGAAGCTTGACAGGATGGCCCTTCTTCCAATCTGCAGGTAACTTTCCTTCCTTCCAAACCCTCTGCAGTAGTGGTGTGAGCATATCCGCTGTTGTCTCTGAATCTATTTTCAGTGCACCCGGAGAGATTCCCACTGGTCCTGCTGCTTTACCGGCTTCCAGCAACTTTATGGCATTCAGGACATCTGCTTTTGTCGGAGGATTTGTGTTCACTGATAGTTCTGTGGC